ATTTTTTAATATATGTGTTGGGGTAGTAAGGGTGTCACAATAAGAACTAGTCAAATCCCACACCAACTTGCAAGTGGATCCTAACACAGCTGAGCTGATGATATGCCTTCAAAATTAACTTCCACCCATGGAAATGGTGTAGTATTAATTGAGTGAAAACTTTAGAATCTCATATGCACATTGTCTTTCTAATTTTCAACATATATCGTAATGTTTTCATTTGACCAACATACTGCAGTAGATATCTAATGAAATACTTTATTTTGTTTGTTTCGAGAACTAGGATACACAAAGTTTCTTTTAATTGAAGCATAAAACTATTGTTCTTGAGTAAAAGATGAACTATACCTGAATAACATGTAAAACATTTGGAATATCAACGCCACGAGCAGCAGCATCAGTACATACAAGAACACCACCTTTCTCATGAAAATCAGCTAAGGTCAGTGCTCGCTCCTCCAATGTGCAATTCTTATGATAACGTGAACATTCAATTCCAGATCGGATTAATATCTTTGCCACAGCTTCAACAGCCTCAACAGTGTTGGCAAACACCATTGTTCTGTGAATGCCACCAGCATTATCCAAATCTTCAGATCTGAAACTGTGATTCACAGCCTTTATGAGTTCATCCACTTGAGTATCAACTGTAACTTCTATCCACTTCTGCTCCAACCTGAAAATTGAAAGGCCACAGTAACAAATTAAATAAATAAAAAAAAACACTAAAAGGTCACATTATTTACCAGCAATCCAACATGGCCAAAATGGGTTGCATATCATAATAGAACAAGTTCAAAGGTGCATATGTAGTTCATAGGTTTTTCAACAAAGAAAGAATGGCATAAAAACTTGTTCCTTGATTGTAAAGTCATATATTATGCCCCATCGAGGAAGATAATTGAATGATTCATAATGTTCTCTCAAATGCCAATCAGAAGGGCATCCTTTCAATTCTGCGTCATAGATAAGAACTAATGCCAAGCATAAAAATTAGAAATGGGAAACTATTGAGGAAAGATTTACAGTAATGAGAATCTTTGCCAATCGTTAAAGTTGCACAGTTTGTACTCACGAGTCACAATTCGCGAGGCTAATTGGAAATTGAAATTATTCTCACCTAAAGCCTTATTTAATCCTAGGGACCTGGTTAGTAATACATTTTCCTGTAACCCTTTTACAGCTAAATTTTCCGTCATACACTAAATACTTGTTAGAAATATAAAACCACTAATTGGCCTCTACCTAACAACTTCGATTTTTGAAGAATTGGTCTCCGGTATGGTACCAATGCATCCATGACTCAGCTATTTGGTTAGTTTGATCTTAACCACCCTCATTACTCATAACAAATAGAATTTCAGCCAAAGGTAAAGCAGTTATGTGCATCATTCATGCTTCAAGCTCAAGAGGATCTTGCTGAGAAAACCTATGAAAGAATAAAACCATTTGATTTGCATGTTATAATGCTCAAAGCCTCAAATATCTTAAATAATTCTTCATCGTCCTATCTTCAATTGAAGTACACCTGGACAATGTGGAGGTACACGTACACTATGATCATACTTCATAGACATTCACCTCAATATTCACATGGATAGTAGATGATTTTTAAAAATAGGCATACCATTCCTGATTATAGTAGAATTTAACTCACATTTTTCTTCATATGCATTCCTTTTATTCATCTTCAGTTCACAATAAATGGAATCATTAAGACACTTAAGAATTTTCCTATTCTAGTTCTCAATAAATACATGTCATTATTTCACAAGACCAGTGGAGTAACAAGGAGCAAAAATATGGAGCATCACTATTGATAATAAAGCAAAAAAAAAAATAATAGACCTTGGATTGTGACAATGAAGATAGTTTCCATAAACCCACTCAGCATCAGGAAACATGTATTTCAATATCCCTCCAGCTGTTTTCTTTCCATTCACTGGAAGTGTAGCAGCAACAAAAATATACTGTTTACTACGCTTATAATTTTTCCTCACTCTCTTCCAGTCTCTTTGTTTGACAGATTCAGCTTCATTATCAATATCTACAATATCATCTTTATCATTGTCATCCTCTTCTGTGGTGGCTTCATTTTGAAGTTCTTCACCTTCAAAAGCATCTGCTGATGACAAGGAAAATTCCTGTTTCATTGGAAACTCTGCTGCTGATTGTTTTGATCGAGACAAGAGTTTTTCATCGAAGCGGAGCAAGTTTATCAGACGGATTACTTTATTCTGGAAACTCCCACAGAGAAGCATATCGGCTTCATCAAACACCTTCCAGTTAGAAATATAAACACGTAATAAGCATCAAGGTTTAGTTCACATATCTTTTAGACTGGCGAATCTACATAAGATCTGAAACATACCACATATTTAACACCACGCATAAATTCCATGCGGCGGGTTCTATCAAGGTCAACATAATTCAGAAGGGCAGCAGGTGTTGTCACAATGATATCAGGTTCCCGAATTGGCCATCCCTGGGTCAAAATCAAAATGATTCTTAGTACCGTGAACAAAGAGCAGACCATGTACTCCATACCACTAAAACTATTATTGCACGGCAATAACCTAAAATACAGAATGCAAAAAATAAAAATGAAAAATAAAAAAACACTACAGCATCACTACCTGTTTGCCACAAATGGCTGCCACACTAACTATCGTCTCACCATCATCTCTACAGAGACTGTTAGCCATCCTAACTACCTGCTCACAAAGTTGCACATTCGGACAAAGAACGAGCAGAACTTTCTGCGGCAAGGTCACTTCTTGATCAGGCTCGGCATGTAGAGAATGTTCCTGGGTGCCCCTAAGTTTATCAATTAGAGGAACTAGGTAACTGTATGTCTTACCACTCCCGGTCTCTGCGGCAATAATAACATCCTTTCCTGACAGCACAGATGGTACAGAAGAAGCCTGAACACACATCAATAATATGCACACATAAGCCCCAGCACCCCAAAAAAGAACAAAAGGGACAAAATTTAGAATTGTGCTTCTATTATTATTCTCATGACAATTGGAATTTTACTTCAATAACCCGTGTCAACCTTTAACGTAAAACTGATAGGATGACAGTAAAAAAACACTTAAAAAGAACTGCATCCAAGTTTTGTCCGAATAAAAAATGAAAACAAAAACTAGTTATCAGCTTCCAACCCCTTGGTCTAGCTTCCTAGTTTCACTCTGTTTTGGACTTAGTCTGTTTGAAAAAAATTCTCCAGAAGTAATAATAGGAGAAGAAACTTTAAAGAAAAGATGAAATGAATATCTCCATAAGCTAAAATTAGCTTACGAATTAGTTAATTTAGAGAATGTTACAAATTTACAATACAGGACTTTTGAGAGCTCCTCTATTGAAAATAAAGAGTATTTTCAATAGAAAAGCTCTAAAAAGTTTATTTAAACTTATATCCAAACATGCTATTGTAGAATTTCTCTTATATTAGATTTTACTAAAACTTCTTTTAAATTATATATAAGCTAATTGTTGCTCATGGAAAAGCTAATATTTTTCCTTCCTATATTTTTCTCCCGGATAAGTCTATACAAATCCTTTTTTTTCTTTCTAACTTTTTGACATCATGAGCATAAACACAACAAGGAAACGAGATCAAATTTTTCACATAAGGGGGTCATTCAATTTCCTAAAAAAAACGCAAAAGGGGCATGAATTGACAAAAGGGGAAACGTGGATACAACTGAAAATGAATAAAACGAATTGGGAAAAACGAAAAACGACCTGAACGAGAGAGGGTCTGTTGAGGCCAACGTTAGAAAGCGCTCGAGAAACGGTATCGGAGAGACCGAGCGAAGTCCACGAAACGTTTTCCTGTGCAAAGAAAGTGTCCCTGCCCTTAGAACCTTGTGATGATGATGATGATGATGCAATCACAAAGGGTCTGGTTTGTGTTAGGCGTGGAGTGGTTTGAGAGAAGGGGCGAGGTTTGAATAGAGAAGGGGAAGAGGGTTTGAAGAATGTGATGTGAGGATGGTTGAGGTGGGAGAAGAAGTGGTAGCGAATTGGTGGGTTTTGGAGATGGAGCATCAAGGCTGAACGAGTAACAATCATTGGGAACTTCTTCTTCACTCAAAAACTCTCTCTTTCTTTCACTCTGCTTCCAAATAGATAATCAATCACATAACCAGTGGATGGGTGGGGTTTAGGGTTTTAGGTACAAAGGATCAGATTATTTGTTTATTTCAAACTTGACAAACTAAAAACTAGTTTATTTATGTAAAAAGAATAATTTTGTCATTTTGAAGTTTTGTATTCACGTGGAAAATAGTATACTCTAGTTCTTTTTATCACGTAAAATTTTATTTTTATTTATTTGTCGATTAAGAGAATATTAATTGTTATACTTTATTTCTTATTTATATTTTAATTAATTTAAATATGACAATTAATATATTTTATTATAAAACAAAAATGAAAAATGACATAATAGAAAATATTAAAATCATTTTATAAAAAATAAAAAAACATTTCTTGGTATGTATAAAATAATTATAAATAACTATCATAAAGAAATGAATGTAATAACAATATACATAGGAAATTTTTATTTTATGAAACTTGTGATAAATAAATATTTTATAACATAATTATATTTTAAATTTATAAAAAAAATAATTTATATTATGATATAAGATTATTTTAAAGTAAAATTAATTATATAAAAAATAAGATATTAAGAAAAATAATAATAATTAAAAACATTTTTGTTGAAAAATGTTTTGTATATATATTCTAATTTATATAGATAATAAGTAATTAATTTTTTTAATTTATATAAAAGGATTAGTTAAATCATTAAACGATGTAAGGATAAGTTTGTAAAAAAAATATAATATGTAAAGAGAAAACAACATCATCAACTATTAATTGAAATAATCGTAAACAATTGTTCAACATAACAGTTTAACAATTGATCATCTTGAACAACTGAACTACTTAATAATAACTTACACAACTAATACAATTAACTTTATTCAACAAAGCAACATTAACACCTAAGCAACAATAATCAACTAAGCAAAATTAACAATTAATGTATATTAATTTTATAGATCTCCTACAACTTCATTGAGTAGTCCAAATGACTTAATCTTATGGAATCTACAACAGCTGACATGGTAACTTGAAATAATAGTAGACATGGTCAACTTGGATATAAATCTATTATGACATTGATATGCATCAGCCAAGTCTTGTCATGGAATTAGTTTGTCCTCTTAGTACCGCAACCCTTTCAGCACTTAGTTAGGAATTATAGCCCTTGACTTTGTGTCTAACTCATTGACCACTTTTAACAAGTATAGCTCAATGTGTCCATCATATTATTTCAACTTAAATCTAGGAGATATAACTTTAAAAACAACTTCCTACTTAGAGGACAACATCCACAATAAAGGGTTTTTAACACTAGGCTTATAGAGCACCACAACTTATATCCATGTAATGAAATATTTTAATTTCTAAAATAAATTATCTTCTCTAGTTTTTACGCAACTTACAACTTAAAACATGCACAACATGCATTCATCACAACTTAAACAACATTCAACATGCATTTTTCAACTTAAGCAACTTACATCTCAACCTATTCACCTCATCATATTTCATCATCATATAACAATATAATGTCATCATTATAAACATTCCATAGGTCCTAGGGAAGAAAGCTTTGTCTTACAACACCAAGAACAACATATTAAGAAAACAAGGTTTTCGCTTAACAAGCCCTAACTCGTTAAAAGACTAGAGAGCCCTTTTTTGGTTCCTCATTAAGTAAGCTCAAGCTCATTGAACAACCTAGACTTTCTTGGGGTCTTCTTGCTAGGCAAGTATTTCTGATCAAGCTCCCACAACTATCTACTGAGCAAGCCTATCTTGCTCAATGCCCCCACTTCTTTGTGGGTCACTCTTACTTAGTGCCTAAGTGTCGCTTAACGAGTCTTCATCGTGTTCATCATAGGCATGCATTCTCGTTGAGCGAGAACACGATACTTGAGTTTTTACCTTCATACTTTGAAGGCTCATTGAGTGAGAATGCTCTGCCCCACCATAGTGCATGCACTCTCCCAACATCATCCAAGACTCTTCCAACCCATATAAACCATCAAAAATATTTTAAACAACTTATTTTACTTAAGTTCATCTTCAGATTCAACATGCATCTATAAATCAAAAGCAATTTAACATTTTTGGGTGTTGGTTTTAACCACTCAAAACCCCAACTTTTCAACATGAACAACAAACATCATATCTCAACATAGCTACCAATGGGCTCAACAGCAGCAGATTACAACATTAAACAACTTAAGAAATCAAACAACATACTTCTCTTACATCAAATTGCTTCCAGAAAGTTAAAAAAATGAAGAAAGGAAGAACACCAAAAACATCAAGGTTGACTTCTCTCTACAAATTCAAACTCCTCTCGGCTTCTACAACTCAATATCATCTTAAGGAGAAGATTTAGATGCTTCTGGTAAAGTCATAAGAAGAAACAATTTTCCTTAGTTCCAAAGCTTATCTCTTTAAAATTTATCTCTTGAATTTAGAGAAATAAACTTATGAACGAACTCTAAATAACTTGCTTCTCAAGGATTTCTTAACCCTTAACTACAAGAAAAATACTAATAATTGATAGTCATAATTTGTTGGTAATAGTGAAAAATTGTTGGTAAAAGAGAATTTTTTATTGACAATAATCCATTAGAAATATGATCATCGTAAAAAAATATTTGCTAGTAATTTCTAATAAAATGCTTCTGTAGGAAATATACATCAGTAATTATTGACAAATTTATTTATTGAAATTATCAATAGATGTCAAAAACAGTCTTCTATTACAAACAAATAATTTGTTGTTAGGACTGAAAATGAGTTGAGTTTCAACTTGACTTGATTCAATAATATTTGGTGTTCAACTTGAAACTTAACTTGAATCTAACACAAACTTTTTTCATCTTAAAATCGATTCGATTTAATAAGCTCACGAATAATTCAATTCAACTCATTAGCTCAAATCAAATGAACCATGAGCCAATTTTTTAAATCTTATACATTCAAAATTTCAATTTATTAGTAGATTTTAGTTAAAATAGTTGTTTAAAATGATAAATAACAAATTTAATATAAGCATAGTCTATTCCAAAATCACGAAGATTAATTTGAATTACTTTCAATCGTAGTTGTTGTCCAAATTCTTATAATCAACCTTAAAGGTTCAAGAGCTTTTGCAATAGCCATAACAAAATATAATAATGAAGAAGAAGAACCTTTCTTTAATTAAGATATAGAAAACTTAAAATGGAATACCTTTCTCTAATTAAGATAGAAAACTTAAAATGGAATTTCTGTAGGAAATTGCTCCACCTAAAATAAAATAATTAAAGATTAGTAATCAATAAATTGTTAATTTTTATTATTAGGAAATTGCTCCACCTAAAATAAAATAATTAAAGATTAGTAATCAATAAATTGTTAATTTTTATTATTAAAAATTTAATGAATATTTAATCATAAAGAAAGATTATATTACTTTATCTGTAGGAAATTGCTCCACCTAAAATAAAATAATTAAAGATTAGTAATCAATAAATTGTTAATTTTTATTATTAAAAATTTAAAGTATATTTAATCATAAAGATTATATTACTTTAGCCTTGTTTCTAATCCCATGTAAATACTCAAAGCCAATCACCACCTCAAATTAAAGCTTCCTTTGTATTTATTTGGATGTAAAGAAGTCTGGAATGAATCAATAACTCTTCCACCAACACTAAAAGTTGACTTTGAAGCCATAGTAGATACTGGAATGGAAAGGACATCTGCTGCCATATGAGTCAACACTCAATATTTTGCATTATTCAACTTCCACCACTCTTATTAAGGCACAAAAGTTTGTATGAGCATTATCATTAGGCTTGGAAGTTGGTTCACCTAAATACCCTTCAACTTCAGATTTTACATCAAGAATTGCTTGTTGTTGTTGGACATAATTCATCAATGACGACCACCCAGAAGAGTTTGTTAACTCTACTGAAAATTTAGTTTGATCAACACTAGTTCTAGTTGAGCCTTCGTCATCATGCTCACTAAGTAGGGCAACATACTCTTTATACATGTCATTAAGAGCATTGTACACCTTTTCTATATATTTTTTTTAGCTTCATCTCCATGGTAAATAATAGGAAAGCACATTTTAACACCCATAATTTTGATCCTAGGATCCAAAACAATAGAAAGTGACATAACAAGATTACATTCACTCTAATACTTGTTAAATTTTTCCTTCATTACCTCCCCATGTCCTGCATTAAATTAACAAGTTTGGGCGAGATGGAAAACTTTGATCAGCCTTAGTTAGCAATTGGATAGTCATTATCGGAAATAATGTGTGACCACACTTAATACCTTTAACAACTTGGCAACTTTTTCTACTTTTCCTATTCATTTGGCTCTAGAAGGGTTCTTGATCTTGAAATCACAGGAACATTTCTTTGAATTGTATTGCAAGTGACAATATTTGCGATAGAGTTCCATTAAGTAGGGGATTCCATAATAACTATTTTACCACCAAGCTTTGTTGAACTATTTGTGAGAAAGTGAGTAATCATGCTTTGGAATGATTGATGAACTTCACTCTTTCACATACCTTTTCAACTATTTTTGCTATTCTTTCTCTACCATCTTGAACAAGCAAGTTAAGTAAATATGCACAAAACGCACATGAAACAACTTTCCATCTAACATTTTTTTTTTTGCCTTCATTTACCACTTCAACTATTGGTGTTCCAACATTTATATTTGCAACTAAACCAATGATAGCCCTAACAGACATCTATACAATAACAAATTAATTAAAATTTAAGAATAATAAAATTAGAAGTTTACAAATAATAAAGAATGAGCATTCGGACACTAATAAGTGAAAAAAGGCATTGGAAGTACAATAATGACTAGACATGTTATACAAAAGACGAAGATGCGGAAGTGCATATCTAGACTACAAAACATTAGAAATTAGAAATTAAAAAGATAGAAACTCACCTCTTGTAAGAAAAGAAAAAATCACTCAACTACAAAACAATAAAACCATGGATTTCTTTTTAGTGGGGCAAAAAAAATTAAAAATTTATGAATAAAAAAGTTATAATTTGACCTTACTTC